CTGTTTAGATTGCTTGATGCCTGGAGCATTAAAAATATCCTTAACATATTATGTTGAGTTTAGAGCAGAAAATATTAGAATGCAGGCTACACTATTTGTGACCTGCTATGCAGAAGGGAGCCCACCGTCTATTGTGGGGGCCAACACAGGGCCTTGTTGGCTCTATTTTTTGGTTCATGCCTGGAAATACAAAACCAGGAACTACCTAGTATCCAGCAGTATGTCAATGCTTGTAGGCTGCATTCAGCCTAATAGATTTTCCGCTGTGCAGAGCTAAGTTTAAGAAAGCTTCTAAACTCTAACGTGTAAACATATGAATCTATAATTTCTAATTCCATTAATTTTTTTTTTGTTATTAACTAATTACTGTGTAAAGTCTACCCCAATCAATGCCTGATTTCTTATCACTAAACTTTCAAGGTTATTACCTCTTTGAGAGCGGATCACTTAAAGCTAGAAACAAAACACTATCAGTCTTTGACAACATATTAAAACACTATCAATATGGTAAAATGATTTTTATTTTGATTACAGTGAAAAGAATAATCTAGTTTTAGCATGTTAAAAAAAACTATTAGAACAGGCTCTAACCAGTTACCATAACAAAAAGTGCTAAACAAGTTAATATCTTATTTTATGCACCCAGACCTATTTTCCTTATTTCTTACCGAACTAATAGGGGATGTCTCCCTACTGTGCCACGTGGCAGGATCCAGCCAGTAATAATCCAAGTCACCTGGAGGATACATGAATGGGAAGAAACGTGTAATCTCTCATACTAATAAAGTTGTATGAATGTGTCATATCTGTAGGCATAAATCTAAATTTAAGTAGTTCTCTGAAGCAAACCCATTCAAGTTTCTGAGTTCAGAAATAATAAAATATACAGTTCTTTTTTCAAGTGGAGCTTCTGCATGGGGGGATCCACATTAGCTGGCTTTATTTTTAGCAGTGGGCTGGCTGAATCAGGTTTCTGTGGGGACAAGTTGATTTTAAGAGCTTCACGGTCCTGATGCTGCAGTCCAAAAGAGTTTCACATTGGATCAGAACTCAAGTCCTTCTAATCCAGTGCTGCCTTCTCTAGCTGGCTTTTCTGGAGGTTAATCTTTCCTTGCTGAAATCTCTTTTGCTGGAGGTAGCTAAGACTGAAGTTGGGACCTACTAAATATACCCTGTCTCTGTGTCTTTTCACTGTGTGAACATCCAGCTCCTAACTGGTGTGAATCTAGAGTACCCACATGCTTGCTCTGGTGTCCATAACACCTGCTAATGCGTGCAATTGTAAGCAACTTATTACAAAAACATACTATAAGCATCCACTTCATACTTCTTTCAAGGAAACTGATTCTGTAAGGCTACCCTGTTCTTCTTACCATTCTGGGAAGGCAACTTTCCAATAGTCAGGGAACATGAATGAGCAAAAATTGCAAATATATGGCTAATACTATTAATGAAACATTAATAGTACTTAAAGAGTAATGTTGCCTTGATTAATAGTGAGGAAGCTGGAATGGTCAGAGAAAGTATAATGGAAGACAAGTAGGTGAAAGGCATAGACAGAAAAGATGGATGAAATACATGATGAGAAGGCAGAGAGGATGACTGATACACTTGCATATTAACACACACAAAAGTGAATGTGCAGTCAAGTGAGTCACAGAGAAAGCGGGATACTGAAGAAATATGGAATGTAGAAAACCTAGTAAAAAGGTGCCGAGAAATGCTGCTAAGACTCTTGAGAGTCTATTCCAAAATAGCAGTGTCAGTGCTGTTGGCTATCTATCACTCACTTCAGACTTCACTGTACATTCAATGAATGTGCATCAAGCTCACTATCCCACACGAGCACCTGTGCATTCAGCCAGGTGGCTGAAGTAAACTGCTACATGTATATAATTTTGTGCATGTAGGTTCTTTGGTGTGATTGACACCTTGCCATGCACACACCATTTGTGAAAGAGGCGGGGTGTGTGTGTGTGTTTCACCCAATTCCCCTTTATTTATGGAGGCCCCCAATTACATTCAATGAATGTGCATCAAGCTCACTATCCCACACGAACACCTGTGCATTCAGCCAGGTGGCTGCAGTAAACTGCTACATGTATATAATTTTGTGCATGTAGGTGTGATTGAAACCTTGCCATGCACGCACCATTTGTGAAAGAGGCAGGGTGTGTCTGTGTGTTTCACCCGATTCCCCTTTATTTATGGAGGCCCCCAATGTTGCACAGCACTTTATTGAAAAGGGTTGCATGACCCACAGCAGTTACTTTTTATGGTCAAAGGAACTTTCCCGGGGCAAGTGGATAAGATTGATTTCTGCTAATCCTTCTGTGTACAAATATTTGGACCCAACCTATTATGTATGTGAAGTACTTTCAATATTCTAAATTGCAATGTATATGTAAAGCATTCTTATTGCACATACTTTTCATCCTTTTTCATTTCTTAAATTTGTAGCATGTTTCATGCGAGTGGCTCAGGATAAGAAAATCTAAACTATTTAACATATTAAATATTAAGAATTGATTATATTTTATTCCATTTTAAAATTGATACTAAAAGCTGGGGGCTCATGAAAAATTGAAGAAGGGAGGAGCAGTTTGGAAATCCCTGTCCACCATCCAAAATCTCTTTCTCCAGGATTCTAAAGACTCCCAGGCTCCTGAGCAGGCTGGTTTTTCATTCCCTCTACTCCTATTTTCCCCTTTAGCTGACTCAATTGCATTCAACATTTTGTTCTTCTGTGGCATATCAAGCTGTCCCCCCCCCTTTTGTTTAATTTACAAAAACACATTTTCCTGTATGCCTTTGGAGTTGCCTGAGTATACAGAATATACATGAACACATGAAGCTTTTTGTTGTTGTTCAGTCGCACAGTTGAGTCCGACTCTTCGCGACCCCATGGACCAGATCACGCCAGGCCTTCCTGTCTTCCGCCATCCTCATGAAGCTACCTTGTACTGAATCAGAATAATAGTCCATCACGGTCAGTATTGTCTACTCAGTCTGGCAGTGGCTCTCCGAGATTTCAGGTAGAGGTTTTCTTAGATCGCCTATTACCTGATGCCAGGGATTGAACCTGGAATCTTCTGTGTGCCAAGCAGATGCTCTACCATTGAGGCATGCCCCCCCACTCATTCACTCTGGCTGTGAGTTGCCCAGCTGTGCAGCTTTCACAAGCACACTAGAGACCAGCCACTTTGCTATTAGGAGTATTAAAAGGGAGTGAGAACATCACCAGTTTCCCCCCAACTGCTGGAAGCTTGCTTACATTAAAAATTGCTTAATATTGCCTTAAGATGTTCAGGTTTAGTGAAACTACAAAGGCTGAAAACTCCACAAATATGAAACAGCTACTGTGAAGTCTTTTTCTATACATGATTGCTATCTGAACATGGCACATGAGTGATATTGCTCAGGACGCTTTTGGTGGGCTGTGTTCATGCGTGCTGTGGACTAACTCCTTTCAAGATATGTGAATACAGCCAACCTTACAGTCAGGATCTGTGCACAGAGAAAATTACAAAGGCCAACTCAGTAGCTTTTCCTGCTACTTTGTGTGGCAGAGTTCTTTCATATCTGTTCTCATACCGCATTAATTGTGCATTCAAGTATCTTTTATCCATTTCAAATACTGTTCCTACTTTAGAAACAGTACAGAATAAACGTGCATTGTAACCTGAATCTACAGTACCTGGTCCAAATATGTCATGCCTAGGGTTGCACACTCTGGCTTGGGAAATTCCTGGAAATTTGAGGATGGAGACTAGGGAGGATAGAGTTTGGGGAGGGTACATGTGAAACCCCCCCCCAATCAGTCCCTTTTAGTCTTGTTTGGTCCATGAACAGAGCTAGCCGAAGGGCTGAAGGTGGGGATGCCAGCCTCCAGGTGGGACCTGGGGATCCCCTGGAGTTACAGCTCATCTCCAGACTACAGAGATCAGTTCCCCTGGAGAAAATGGATATTTTGACATGTGGATGGATGGATATTTATAACGTTGTACCCCACTGAGGTTGCTGCCCTCCCAAAGCTCCATCACCAAATCTCCAGGAGTTTCCTAATCTGGATATGGCCACCGTACCCACCCATCCCCTGCCTGTGGCCAGGGGTACCTGGCAACCCTAGCTGGAGGAGTCATATGGGAGGGAGAAGTGTGAAAGGAAATTCTGTTTTTAGTTAGATAGGTCTTGCATCTCCAGAGTGATAAGCTGGAGAGGTCCTGTCTCAGGAGACTTCAGAAGTCTCAAAGTCTGCCTGCTGAGTGAGAACAGATGAACACAGGAAAGAAGTGGCAATAGAATTTTGCCTTCAGAGGAGTGGGCTGGAAAAAAAACTTTTTTTTCCCTAGGAGACTGGTGTTTTAGAGTCTAGTTTCTAGGGAAACTTGCCTGCTAACTGTTCTCTGCACTCCTAAATTATCAACTGGAACCTTATAAATGAATGGGCCCAGCGAGATTGTGTTACATGTGTAAATAGCTTCTATATTCTTTTTTGAAACACCATATTCTCCTATCCCTGGGAAAATAAAAGTTACTGTTCTTTTCCTGTTCCCATCATAGGAAGCCATCTGAGTTAAGTCAGTCAGGTGGAGGATCAGGGGTAGAGACCACACTGACCAAGCTTTACATCATGCTACCTCTATTTCAATGGCATTAAAGACCCAAACCTTCATACACTGGTGACTTACTAGCAGGATATAGCCAAGGATTTTTGTTGTTGTTGTTAGAGACTGGAGTGGCTCAATATAACATTCTCAAGCAGTTACCCTATGTTTATGAGGTAAAGGTTTTATAGAATGCCTCCAAAAAGAGAAGGCAAACAGGCTGAGGAAACTTTAGGGGCAGAATAGTTAGAAATCTGGAAAATCAAGTGTGAGGGAGATTGAGATGGCTAAATTAGCACTGGAAGAAAGAGAGCCAGAGAAAGATAATGTGAATTAGAGATTCTGAATTTAAAAGCAAAAGGAAGAGAGACTGCTGAGGCCAGAGAAATGAAGTCGAGAGAAAAATAAAGTGAGTGAGAGGAGAGAGAAAATAGCAGGAAGCTGAAAGAAATTATGAGTTACAACTCCATTAATGCAAATGGAATTCAAATGAACTCTGCATTAGTTAAGAGTTGGGACAAGTTGGTTTGGAGTTACCTCATCTGGACACCTGCAAATTGGTTTTGGGTTCCCCGTCCCCAAAGGGGTATCATACAATTGCAACAATGTTGCCCCCACCTCCATGTTCCTCCCCACCAGACTCCTGCCAGTTGCCAACCACTAGCTGGCACTCAATGGAGTGGTAGAACATCATTTTGCATACCAAAGCTCCATGGTCCAGTCCCTTGAGTGTCCAGATAAAGAACATGAGGGGGAAAGTGTTGGGAAACAGCTCCAGGTTCTTGAGAGAAGCAACATATAAATGCTCTAAATCAATAAATAAATACTCTGGAGAGTCATTCCCAGAGTATACAATACTGAGTTAGATGGACCAGTGGTCTGACTTGGTATAAGGCAGGTTTATGTACATATTGCATGCATCCTAATTTTAAATGCCTAATAGGAAAGGAAGCCTTACTTGCATCACTGGAATATTACTGTGTATATAACTGGGATGTTTACACAATATTGAAACAAAACCACAGAATACAATACAATTAATCTAAACAACCACTGAATAATTTAATATTGCAACAATTAAAATATAGTATCATACAGATCTTAAAACCAAAGAAAGCAGCAAATACAA